CGACTCGATTAGTGTCGAAGATGGTTTTCCAGAAGTTAGCTTGGAAGATATCCCAAAAGCAGATCCCGAAGATGATGTCTTTTCGGACTTTCCGATGTCGGTGATGGCTTGTACGCCAATTCAGCAGCTTGAGCTAGAATACGAGCGTGTGATGCGAATAAGTGCCGAAGAGTTGGATCTCGAACCCGCAGTCTATGTTCATGAAGGGAGTGAGACCTTATCACAACTCAGGGAACAACTCGCATTACTTCCGGACATCGAAGAATTATCTCCGAAGTGTGACATCGACTCGGCCGACGTTGGAGAATCTGGGATGAGTACTCCAGAAGACGAGCGAAGATTGAGAGGGATTCTGAAGTATCATCGAGCCATCTTTCTGGGAGACGGGAATGCGGTTCCAGCTCCGGCGCGGGGTGTCACCTGTGATTTGGATGTTGGAGAGGCGAACCCTGTCACTCAGCGTCCCCGATCAGTGGCTCCCCATTTATCGATCCAAGTGTATGAACTGCTGAAGAAGCTTTTGGAAACCCGACTCATCGAACACTCAGAATCACCATGGGCATCACCTATTGTGATTGTCCTCAAGAAAAATGGTGTGGATATCCGAATGTGTGTCGATTACCGAATTGTCAACGGATTCATTACATTGTCCAATTACCCTCTACCGCTAATAGACGATCTGCTGGTTGGGTTCGAGGACGTCATGTGGTTTATGAGCTTGGATATGGCGAGTGGCTTTTGGGCGATCAAGATGTCTGAAAGAGCGAAGCTGATATCGGCGTTCGTCTGTCCGTTCGGACACTTCCAATGGACCCGCATGCCATTCGGACTCAAGAACGCGCCACTGATATACCAATCGGCGATTTGTGAGACTGCCTCCAGAAGAGGAAGCAGAGGTCGATCGAGAGGTCTTGGGTTTCCTAGGTCTGAATCCTACTGATAACCAAGAATATGGAGGGAGCTGTCTGAATGACGAGGTGAAGGGACTCACGGATCTGATGACGGTTTTCCAAAGGAATATCCCTATGCCATCACACATCGGTCCAGTGCTAGGGCGCAGTTCTTACATCGATGACATCGCTCACAGTGCGAAAACATGGGATCAGCTTTGTGAAGATCTGGACACTTTGCTCTATCGTTTACGCTACTGGAATATATCGGTGAGTTTACCAAAAAGCGAGTTTGGAAAACGATCGATCCCTTATCTGTCGCATGAGATTAGTGCAGAAGGTGTCCGGGCGATCCCAAAAGTTGCAAAGGGTGTTATGGATTTACCGTTCCCCAAGTCTCATAAAGGTGTGCTATCGTTTCTCGGAAGTCTGAACTATTATCATAATTTCATTGAAGACTTTCCGGTAGTGGCAGCAGTCCTCTACGAACTTTCAGA